TCATATTATTAGGGTATTCCTCCTCCACTCAGGGCCAATATGAGGGTTTTGATTCATTGACTGGCGCTTTGAAAATACTTGTTAGCAAGACTTTAATGATTATGATTACAGTCTTAACATGCATGCTGTTTTTATGACAATCTCAAAATGCAGCTAATTTTAGATATAATACAAAATGTTTCTTGTGTGTTTTTTTTTTTTTTTTACTTCAGGTAATGTTTTCTTTGCGCCCACACCACGTAAGATGACCTTTGATGAGGCCAAGGCTGAGTGTGAAAGCATGAATGCAGAGCTGGCCTCACCTGGTCAAATCCACGCTGCCTGGAGACAGGGTCTGGACCGCTGTGATTACGGATGGCTGTCTGATGGCAGTGCTCGCCACCCTGTCTCCGTACCCAGAAGTCAGTGCGGTGGTGGTCTTCTGGGTGTCCGCACCATGTACCGCTACCGAAACCAAACAGGCTTCCCAGATCCCAATATGAGGCTAGGAGCATACTGTTTCAAAGGTAAAAACTTTACACTAAGCTCATGAATTGTTTATGGCGTGATAAACGAACACCTGAGTTGCGAGACTAGCCACTTTACCAGCTGCTTTGACGTCATTTCTCTCAGTATGCGTATTATGGAGCCTTCACCCCATTAAACACATAACCATGAGCTCCAGACTTACTGTGAATGCCTCTTAAGGGCAGTAAATCAAAGCAGAATATTAGTTAAATTGAACCACTTTTTGTTAATTGAGGTTCTTTTAAGTTGAGACGCCTGGTATGGAAAAGTTTACATGAGAGCTCATTCTCCAGTGATTCCCTGACCTCATTCTGCTGCATTCTGGGTTGCCGCCCGTTTCTAAGGCAACCAAACTGGGCTTGGTTAACCGGAGGGTTTAAACATCCAGAGGTCCGTTTTGCTACTGTAGTACTTTGTGGCTAAAATGACATATGCTTGTCAGACTTTGCCTTGTGGTGTTGTAGGTACTCAGACTTCAGAAAGACTTGATGTTCCCATCAGCATGGATGACCTCATAAGAACAACCAGGGGGACCAGTCTCAAAAGATAAACAGCATTGAGACACTTCAAAGTCCCTTTAAAACACGTTAGTCTATGGGCATTTTGGTAACACCTTTGAGCAGATACTGGTAATGGGCATATCAGCTAGGGATGCATATTGTGCATACTGCTTATTGATATCATAATGGTAACGGCTGATATTAAAGATTTTTTTTTTAATTTAGCAGTCAATATTGGATATTTAATTGTGCTAATTTCACATTTTACATTCTGATTACTCTTGCTGTTATCTAAAGCTCACCTAGAATTAATCTTTGAAAACACAAATTAATTAATAACACTGTTAAAATGTAAAAATTAAAATCCAATTATATTATTGTACATTACAATGTTGTCACTCCTAATTTCACTTTTAGCATTTAAATGCCTGCTTTTAGTTTGTAGTGTTTTAATTTTCATTATAATATCAGCTAACTGCATTTTTCAGGGAGGTCTACTAATTGCATACAGTATATGATTGATGTCTTTTAACTGAAAGGTAAGAATTCCTTCACTAGAGTTGCCATATTGAGATTTATGTTTTCTCCCATTCATTTTATCTGAATTATAATGAATGAAACTTTATTTGCCTCCTTTCCTTTATGTTTCTGTATAAGTCTTTTGTTGCGTAACATACCTTTTTCATAACTTAGGAGCACAGCACAGGCCTAAAGACATCAACAAAGATTAAAGGGGTCATATGATGTTGCTAAAAAGAACATTATTTTGTGTATTTGGTGTAATGAAATGTGTTTATGCGGTTTAAAGTTAAAAAAACACATTATTTTCCACATACTGTACATTATTGTTTTTCCTCTATGGTGGTTGACTCTTAACTTTTATAAAAAATATCTCTTTGGATTTGAGACTTTAGTCTTTGAAACTTTACAGATCTTCTTTATGCACCAAGAGCTTGTAACACTCCAAAGAGAAAGGAAAAATTGAAATCGCATCATATGACCTCTATAAAAATGACTTAGTTGTTAACTATTACTTTTTCTTTTTCTGTCTCTTTCCGCTGTCAGACTCTCTGTCCTTCCTGTCATTTGCACCAGCGCTTATCTGAACAGACATGAAGATAAAAGAGAACGCTACTACCAGAGAGCTAAAATCAGTGGGTCTCGCTAATCCCTGACCTGGGGGGGGGGAGTT